AGAGAAGTTTGTGAAAATCGACTGTCCCAGTTTTTTGCCAATAGGAATTACCTTCAAAATGGCAACAAGTTATCGAACAAAACGGTGCATATTTGACCTAAATCGGATCATTCTAACTATGCTAAATAAAGCCTTCAATTTCATGCAGAAATAATGGATTTCTTTTTACTACACCTTATATATGGGGTGGTGCGTACATTCACTTTCTTGGGTTAATGCAAAAAAATATATAAATGGTAACGTAATTGTTCCTTGTAACGCTATTTCGCGTTCGGTGCGGGATAAGCTGCGAGTCGGTGTGGTCCGGATTCGAGCAGATGTAAATAATTGTGAAGACAGTGGGATGGATATTAAGATGATGTATATTGTCGATTAGATGGCTATGTACAATGAGTATTTACAGGTTGATTCGATGCCGTTGGTTTAGTGCGCGGGTTTTTGTGTTCGCGCGTGTTGACGTTCGCTGCGGCGGAGCTCGTGCTGCGGGGCCGCTGGCGGTCACGTGACGCGTCGATTGTGTTGTGCTTGCGGCGCGATGTTGACGCTCGGATCTTTAATTTTGGTCGCGCGAGGAGAGCCGTTACTCGAGGAATAACACGGCCCTGCGTGCGGGATGCATCGGAGTTTTGCGGAGCGGTTGTGAGCTACGATGCGGTGCCGCGGGGATCGGTTCCCCGGGACGGCGGCGCGACTTCGCGGAGGTTGACTTTACGAACCCAATAAGTCGACGGAGCAGTAATCAAGGATGTAGACTTCACGAATCCAATAAGTCTACGCGGATGTCGACTTTACGAATCCAACAAGTCGACGGAGCGGTAATCAAGGATGTAGACTTTACGAATCCAATAAGTCTACGCGGATGTCGACTTTACGAATCCAATAAGTCGACGGAGCGGTATCGAGGAATGTCGACTTTACGAATTCAACAAGTTGACGGAGCGGTGACGAGGAAGGTCTAAAATACGGTGTTCTAGGCAGCGGTGTTCGCGAGGTGTTGCTGCTGTCGGAGTCTGAACTCTGTTTAGCGGAGTGCCTCGGAAGACTGCTTGATTCTCAGCTTTTCACACGGTCTTTTATATCAATTTTAGCCTAATCTCGTGTTATGATATTTGCGGTCGGTCGGCGGTGTTTACATTAGTTTGTCGCGGTTCTGTTTAGTGACGAGTCGTTTCGTACATTTAATTTTAACGTTCTCGCGGTTCCTTCTATCTTTTGTATTATGGACGGCTCGTTACATCCTAACTGATTGATACTTATATTAGATGATAAACTTAGTTCCTGTGGTTTTTTTGTTTAAAAAACTCATTTATTTCGATATCAAAAGCAAAAAATACATTAATCGAAGTATTTTCCTTCGCTAGCTATACATTTTTCCCATCTTTCGGGCAACGCGTAGATTCCACGACGATAGAACGATTGGTCTTTTGATGCAATCCATTCGTCGATCCATTTTCGCACATCCTCGTAATTTCTGAAGTGTGTATCCACCAAGCCGTGCTGCATCGACCGGAACAAGTAATAGTCCGAAGGAGCTAAGTCTGGTGAATACGCTGGGTGCGGGAGAACTTCCCACTCGAGCTGCATCAGTGTTTCTTTGACGGCTTTGGCAACGTGTGGTCGAGCGTTGTCGTGCAAAAGCATGACTTTACGTCGATTGCTGGCTACTGCTGGCCTTTTTTCCAACAATGCTTCATTCAGACGGTTTAATTGTGATTGATATCGATCCCCCGTGATACTTTCGTTCGGTCTGAGTAGCTCATAATAAACGACGCCGTGCATATCCCACCAAATGCAAAGCATTGCTTTGTGGCCATGAATATTTCTCTTTGGTGTGGATGTCGATGGTTGGCCAGGGTCTACCCATGATTTTCTTCGTTTAGGATTATCGAAGTATATCCATTTTTCATCGCCAGTCACTATGCGCCACAAAAAACTCTTCTTTTTCTGCCTGGCGAGCAGAGAAATAGAGATGTTTAAGCGATTCGCAATGGCATTTGCGGTTAATTCGTGTGGTACCCATTTTCCCTCCTTTTGAATTTTTCCCATTGCATGTAGACGTTTGGAAACAGCCATCGGAGTAACATTTAATGCTGCAGACAATTCTTGGAGCGTTTGAGTAGAGTTTTCGTCCAATAATGCCTGCAAATCGGTGTCTTCAAACTTTTTCGGTTGGCCTGAGTGTTCTTTATCATTGACATCAAAATCACCATTTTTAAATCGCTGAAACCATATTTGGCATGTTCTTTCCGATGGAGCATAATTGCCATAAGCTTCGAAAAGCAATTTATGAGCTGCAGCTGCAGTTTTTTTGAAGTCAAAGTAATGAAGCAGCACATGTCGAAAAAACAACTTATCACGTTCCATATTTAATCACAAGAAAAAATAGCACTGCTCGCTTAAATGAATCTCTTCGCACTGAATTTTATTGACAAATGTCTAACCTCTAAAATGCAGCCAGTCATCTAACTGTGAGCCGCAGGAACTAAGTTTACCACCTAATATCTCATATCCATAGAGAAAACATACAAAGAAAAGACAACTTATTTCACATTTTTTAAACTGCTTTGAAATATATCGAAAAATTAAATTAAATTATAAATTATAATTAATTTAAATTTTATATTATATAAAAATAGTATATTATATAAAAGTATATTATATAAAAAATATGAGAGACGTTATCGGGTATCCTTTATGCGAAAGAGAACGATTTTGAGCAGATTCCTTACAGCGTTTTTTAAATAAGCCAAATTTATAATAAAAAGTAAATACTTCAAGAAAGTGTATTTTTCAGATAAAAAGGAAATAAGAACAAAGTTGATACCTGCAGTAGATCCAAAGATATGACTTTATTTATGTTTTATTCAGGTATTTTCTAGAGAAATTGTCATTCAGAAATTATGTCGTCGTCATCGTAGTCTTCCTCTTCGCAAACTACTGGGAGTGTAAGTTTACAATATTCCGCCACTAATGGTGGTGGCGTCGAGCTAAGCGTTACGCGCGGTCGATTCAATCATTAGCTAACATAACATGCGCTCACGCTCGCTCCCTCCCCCCTCTCTCTCTCTCTCGTATAAGTAGAACCATGTTATATAATTATTAATGAAAAATATTCTTTATTAATATTTTTGAATGTTAATTATAATCTTTCTCATATCTATCCCGGATTACATGACTATATCCGGAACAAAATATTTGTTATCTGTACTTTTTTAAATATTTTATAAATGTTGTACGCTGTTTTGGAAGCAATATATAACTTACAATAAAAACTTACCTCATCGTCAGAAAGATTATGTATTACCTCTAAAAATTTTCGTACTTTAGGGATATATTTTTTATTTGCAAATACATACTCATCATTATCGTTGCTTAACGATGACGAGAGAAAATCGAATATTATTTGCATCTCTTGCTCGTTTAAATCATTGATATTAATTCGCGCCGCCATATCTTGTACAAAACCGACATCGTTTCTCAGAGCTCGTATTAGATTTTTGCACGAAAATGCGGAAACTCGACACTAGACTTACCAATAAAAACGCTATTACATAGAATGTTTTTTATTGTTTTCTATCAGACATTTTAAGCAGGGTAATGCTTTCCATTACCGATTTAGTTATTTCAAATCTAGTGTTTTGTATCATGTATATACATATTTTTTATCATGATTGTAGATGAAAAAGCGTCTCGTCAGTGAGTACCGCTGCATTGACTTATTTTATGAAATGAGAATAGTCTATAGAAATATGTAAAATAGGGTAGACTTTTAAAAAAATGACAGATTTTTTAAAATATTTTGAATCACGTATACGTCTTTAAGGAATTAACCTCGTAGGATTAGTTTTATTGTTCCCCACGCATACTGTCGTTAATTGTCAAGCATCCTAATTGAGAAATAAGATGTTATTAATAGTAAATAATAACATCAATTAATAAAGTAATAAAAAAATAAATATTTCTTTTTCTGATTAAAATTTAAATTTAATGGATAATATTCACAGATTTTATTAAATTAACAATAAAAGCACGACAAAAATATTTTATATTCAAATTGTTTACTTTTGTAGTAATATTAAATTATAGTATGAAACATTATATTACTAAGTTAGTTAAGACATCATATGAAGATAATACGAAGGACGTTTGCATCAATCGAAGAAATAGTGTAATACCTAAAGTAATAGACTCACGATCTAGAGATATCTCGAGTCCGAGTTCGAGTCTCACCAGTGCTAAGCGTGAATTCTCAAATATGATATAGTATAAAATCAAAGAAAATAGCTAAATTTCAAGTAAGATCAACATACACTGACAACTTAATAATAGTTTCTTACTAATATTTAATAATTAATAATCTTATATTTAATATTTAATAATGTAATATTTAATAATCTTATTAATAATTCTTACTAATATTTTCTACTTAAAAAAGCACTAACGTTATCTTTTTATTCTTAGAAAGCATTTTTATAATAGTTGTTTAAAGTTATTTTTTGTCGAAAAAAACGCTCCATCGAAATTATGTTCTATCAAAAAAAGTGTCCGAATGGATGCTTTAACTCATGAGAAGAGTTAAAAAGCCTCTAAAAATCGGTTATTAAATATTTCTGAAATGTGTATATGCTGTTTAAATTACAAAACGACAAAGTTTGCAGCATTTCTGCTATCAATCTGCCGTCAAAATCTGTCAATAGATTCTGTGCGCATTCTGCCACCAATCTACTGTCAAAGTTTATCGACAGGCTCTATCGACAGTTTAACAGCAAATTGGGAACATAAATGTCTATAGATCTATCGGCAGATCCTGCTCGAATTTGTCGTCAATTTGACGTTAGTTTTACCCAGATTGAGGCCCTTAATTGAGGCCTGGGGTTATTATGTAGCTATTTGCTACCTCGATTATTATTTATTAACTCTGCAGTTAATATGTCACTCTTATAGCAAATTAAAGTTTAAAATAGAATCATAAATAAATTATCAATTTGATAAAACATTACCTCTCCACCATGACCGTCAAATACTGCAAACAAAGAAACTCCAGTACTGTTCATATTTTCATTCACTACGAAGCGATCTTCCATTCGAGCTCTGTGCCCTTGCATAGCATATGCTGCAATGTAACCTTCTTTTAACTCCCAATTAGGTTTCACTCCATTATTTATAGAATCGTCAACCAAAAATTGCAGTTTAGACACCTACACAAAGAAATATGTAATATAGAAAAATATAATAAGGCACATATATTTATATAGGTACATACAGTATGTTTGATAAGAGCGTGTACGGCAAAACTCAAAAACTTAGGATAATACATAAATTGAAAAAATTTGTACACATTATGCATGATATAGACTGCGATGCTTTATTATTAATAAGTTGTCCAGTCGCCTCCATTATCAATAATTGACTGGCATCTCCGAGGCATACTTTCTACTAATTTTACAGCATAATCTTCA